GCCACTATGTTCCCTTCCTCATTCTTGTTCCCCTGCTCTCCCCTTTATATACTCAATCAACACTATTTAATCCACACCACCATATATGTTAAAAGACCATCGCATGTCCCCGACTGGGACGGTTTCCTTTGCGAAAAAATAAGTGAAAAATAACCGGGAAAGCCGTGCAAGTAGGCACAGAGTAGGGTTTCGGAATGTCCCGAATTGGAGCGCCTTGACATAGAGTTTATTAGTATCTCCGTGGGGTGCTTGGATCCGTGTTATAACACATGTTTTGCTAAGAAATCGCGTCGTGTAGTTTTGATCGTTAACGCATGGAGCCTCTATAAAACTATGAGCACAGCATTGTGGTTGCCATTAATTCCTTTACAATATTGCCCTCTTTCCTTGATTCCGAGTACATAGTTTTGGAGAAAGCATGCGGGACATGTGTTGGTCAAATTAATTTCAATTTTAGTACTTAAATACTTCGCCAAAAATACTTTTATAAATAAGTATTAAATACATACACATAATACATTAAGACTTGAGTGCTAAATACATACCATGTTAAAATACTTCAAGAATACACAAAATACTATAATACTATAAATAATTTTGTATTGTGCAATTTTTATTGCAACGTAATACTATTGTTATTGTCAATTTACGATAAATTTAGTAATTGTTTCAGTCAGACACATTTGTGAACAATAACTGTTGTTATGTAATGTAACAATGTGTTAAATGATTTCAAATATAAAAATATAATCAAAAATATGTCTAACCCAAAGAAATGGAATTTCCTTTTACGACTCTTTTCCAAAACAAAATCAGTCAGACAATGAAACCCCTAGTTTGGTCGAACGAAATAAACCTGCAAATGCAGACCTTGCGTGACTTGAAAAATAAACTATCCGTTTATGACGAATAAACGCTTTTTCTATTGCAGTGTCGAATTACTCAAGCATTTTGAATGCGTTTAGATTTATCATTTAAAAATGAAGTTTAAACAGCTGAAACGATTTCTTAATTTATTTTTGTTTTAATTGAGGTGCATTTATCGGGGAATCCAAAAAAAAGACACATTCTCGTTCTCATCTACCATCTTCTTCGTCTGTAATTATATTCACGTATTTTCGTTTTTTTAAAAACACCTACTTTATAATGTCTACTCCACTACTTGAAATAATATTTCTTAAAATTTATGCCTCAAAAAACTCAAAAATAGAGTTTTCAAATACAAAAATACGTTGTTCAAATACATGTATTTAAATACTGGTCTCTAACCCTGCTTGGGGGTAACGTTCATAATTCAAGTCAGGGAAAATATTAGAAAGCTTAGTGAAACTGCTTACTGTTGTTTTACCAAGGAAGACGATTCCCGTAATATTTATTTGGGGGAGCCTATATTTTAAATATTCCGATTCCGACAAGTAAATTACATTAAAATTTAACGAAATATTACATACAACTTTATTTAATAATTACAATTATTTTTAGTCGGTTATACTACGCTTACGACCAAAATCTAACCTGATTCAATGCAATATGTTTCTCCTTGCTGGGTTGCTTCCGCCAGTCTTTCGGAGCAATCGCCCCGCCCCTTCTTCTGCCCTATGAAATCTATGGCGAAATCTCCATCAGGCGATGCGAACCCGCTCATCTCGGCTGTGCTCGACAGCGAAGGAGCCGCACGGAGGGGCCTTCGCGGCGCAGCTTTCTTGTTGTTTGCTTGTGGCTGTCGCGCCACGGGCTCGCATAAAAGGAGAAGAAATAATTAAGAATTTTAGTTATAAACTAACCCGAATTGCAACGACTCATCCTTTCTCCAATTATTTATGAATCACTTATCAAAATTACGCCAAAAATTACCCATTTCAAAAAAAATACACGACATTATGGAAATATTAATTTCGAAGAAGAACATATTCATTAGAAAAAATACTTGGCTTCGATACTAAAAAAGTAAAAAAAAAACATTTTTTAGCTTAATGAATTTTTGATTTTAAAAATTCCACGGGAATTTCAACGACAAAAAGGATCCCTGCTGTCATTTTTATAAACCACTTTGCTCTATTAAAAAAAGTAAATAGTAATGGAGCAGTTTTGAGAAAATATTGTTCACGAATCCTTTTAACGTGCCTCTATTAAGAATGTTTCCATTTCACACAAAAAAAGGATGCAATACTACATATAGTTTGTCAAAAATTTACGACCTTCTGCAAAATAACCCTTTTTAACATCCAATTTGCACAAGAATAGAGATAGAAATAATCAATATTATAGGGTCTGATGAGGCTGAGAGGATTTTATACTTCTTGCCATTTTCCAAAAACCAAAAAAGGTCCATAAAATGACCGGCGCCGGAGCTAGCATTGTCCAGTGTCGCAGCGTATCGACGCTCGGCGAGACTCGGCGCTGAGAACCGATCGAAACTGGAAACGGGTTAGCAGACTTCGGCATCAGCATTCGGTGTCACTGCCAATACCGTGACAAGGGCCGTCTAGGTTCGAGCCCGAGTTCGCGTGGTGGTAGGCTGCTCTGACTTCGCAGGATTTTCATACATTCTTCCGGTCAACACCAGGCGAGCCCAGTACTCTCAACAAACGGGCCATGGACCATAGGAGCATCTATTCGTTCCTCTTCCTTGCCCTCTCCTCACCCCTTCCTTAAACGCATTCTACAGCGGCACTACATTTCCACACATGTCGGTGAGCTTGCCTGACTGCGCCGCGGCCGCGTGCCCTCGGGGCGCGAAAACCAGCGAAGCGGAGTGTAGGTCGGCGCCGGACCTCGACACGTCCAGCCGGCAGATCCTGCACCGCCCACCTCCCGCGATAAAAAGAACATGTCCGCCGCTTAACGGTAGTAGGTTCCGTCAGCCAATAGACGGAAGCTCGGAATCATGAATCAACCAATCCATCCATCGGAAAACTGAATACTTTGCGTCCGGCTCGGACGCATGAACCAAGGAATTTCCACAGGAGGGGGCATTCGCCGCTCTCCATTTGTTATAACCCCTCTTGAGGGGCCCTGACGGCACAGAATAGACACTTACACAGAAAGCGAAAGTAAGGGGGCTCCTTTGATCTTCAGTAAGCGCACCCGCCGTAGCGCCGACCGCCACTTGCAAAGGAAAGTAGGTCAGCTCTTCATCAAAAACGATCAAATCTTTTTTCTTCTACGCATTTTTCCAACGGGTAGGTGCCTAATCATGCACTCTTTAATATAACGTTTAGAACCATTTTCCGCGGGGTATTCTTTTGTTGCTTTTTCAAAAATTACACCAAAATATATTGTTTTCGAAAAATCATCTCTCAAGTCCTAGTATGCACATTTCAGCAATTTCAAACACTATAGTAGATTTGTGAGTTAAAGTACATTTAAATTACTTCAAATAACAGTTTTTCCCCGGGAAACTTAAAAATGGGCTTCAATTCTCAATTTTAATAACGCTTTTAAATTAGTTATTTTAAATAACTAATGCCCGGGCAAGTGCAAACATCTGCCTGCGCAGAAGGAGATTTTCTTTAAGTACCGGTTGCAAATTTGTTTAAGGAAAATTGTCATTTAGAACAAGAATTACTCTTCTTTAATTTCTCTAAGTAGTGTTTGGTCCTCCTATTAGAAATCGAAAAGAAACTGGATGAAAATTATGGAAAAAAAAATGGTAGTTTGGGCAGAGAAATAGATGGCAGCTAGGCTCGCAGTATGTGCAAGTTCGCATAAACTAGCCCAGACTAAAGGAAATTGGAAAACGGATACGGAGAAAATCCTGTCCCATTCTGTTAGCCCTACTAGTTACGTATCTTACAATTTTTTAA